GAAACTAATCAAGGAGAGGAGCAACCTAGAAGTAGAGGATAAATTTCCTGACAGGGAAAATGATTCACCAGCGGGATAATTCACCTTCTGGAGTTGAGGGAAATCTCCACCATTGGAGGTTTTCAAGAAGAGATTGGACAACCATTTGTGGGAAATGGGATAGGGCAGTGATGGCTAATCTTTTGCCATCACGTGCCAAAAGCGGGGGGAGAGGGGGGGGTCGTGAGTGCATGTGTCCACACCCATAATTCAATGCCCCCCACGCATGCATGTGCGACTCCACCAGCTCCCCACGTGCTTTTGGCATGTGATGGCACGGTGGGCCTGGTAGGCCTGTTTTTTGCTCTTCCCAGGCTCCAGAGCCTTTCTAAGAGCCTGGGGAGGGTTAAACGGCCTTCTCCACCCATCCAGAGACCCTCCAGAGGCTGGAAATGGCCCGTTTGCCAACTTCCGGTGGGCCCGGTAGGCCTGTTTTGCGCTCTTCCCAGGCTCCAGAGCCTTTCTAAAGAGCCTGGGGAGGGTTAAAACGGCCTTCCCCACCCACCCAGAGGCCCTCCAGAGGCTAGAAATGGCCCATTTGCCAACTTCTGGTGGGCCCGGAAGGCCCAAAAATCAACTGGTGGAGCTGAGCTCGCATGTTCACTGGTGGTACACCGCCATAGGTTCGCCGTCACAGGGATAGGGTCTCCTGCTTGAGGTAGTCCTCAAAGCAAAGCATGACATGACCGTGACGGACCTGTGACCTCCCTTTCGTTGTGGTCTCTAAGTGAACCAACTGCAGTTGAGAAATGAGACATCACATGACCAGAGGTGGGCTTCATATAATTTAACAACCGGTTCGCCCAGCACTTCGATCGCTTCTGCGCGTGGCTTGGACGCATGCACGTGGCTGTTCTGTCCCCGTCTCACACACACACACAAACAGACAGCCGGGGGTTAAATAAACTGGCAGACAACCAATTCTTCCGATAAGACGCTTGGCAGCAACCCAGTAGTTGCTTGCCAAGAACTTTTACTCAATAAACAAAATACCCACAGTCAAGAATTGTCCAGTTCGTAAAATAAATCCAAGGCCGATAATGTTGTTTCCAAAGATGCAATGTGACTCGATAGTAGTTAGTTTTGTCCGTCACAGAGTCTGAATGGCCACCTCACCCCCTTTTATACCCTGTGGGTGTGGTCCAGTGACTCAGCCTAATCTCTGGCACGCCTTTTCTTCTGTTGCGTGCGCTTATCTCTGCGACGCTGCCGAGGATCCAGCCAAGACTCATCTCCCTCATTACTGTCCACCTGTGGCTGCGTGGACGTGCTTGGCCCCGGCCCTATCTCTTGCCCTTCGGTGGACACCGAAGGCATTGCCAGAGAGGAGGGTCCTGGAGAGGGAGGCCTTGCCAACTCCTCTCCTTCACTCTTGGAGTCCTCTCCTGTCGATGACACAGGCTCAGGTAACGGAGCCACAACAGTGGCTTAGAAAATGTGGCTAAATCGGACGGCATAGCACTGGGGCAGGGGTTGGGGCGGGCCCACCTGCAAGTTGCTACTACCAGCTGAATCCCACCACTGCACATGACCAAAACTTGTGATTTTTCTGCGGGCTTCTTCCTGGAGTCTTGTGGGAAGTCGATTGGGAAACGCACAAATGACGTTCATGTAACCACAGGATGCTGCATTGGTTATAAAAATCTGGTGGTTGCAGAGCCCCTCTCTCCAACCCCTGACTGTGGGGATGGTTATAATGGTACTTCTTCAGTGGCATCATCATTTTCAAGGGTCATTAAACAAGGCGGACATTATGCAAGGACGATCTGTAAGGCCTACATGCATGTATGTTTACATGCTCCAGAGAACTGGTCAGCCTGCACGCATGTAAAGAATCTTCACTCCCAGCTTCATAGATACAGATAGTCATTGACTTATGACCATGACTGAGCCAGTGGTGAAATCCAAATTTTTTTACTACCGGTTCTGTGGGCGTGGCTTGGTGGCCGTGGTATGGCTTGGTGGGTGTGGCTGGGGAAGGATACTGCAAAATCTCCATTCCCATCCCACTCCAGGGGAAGGATACTGCAAAATCCCCATTCCCACCCCACTCTTGGGGGGAAGGATACTGCAAAATCCCCATTCCCACCCCACTCCAGGGGAAGGATACTGCAAAATCCCCATTCCAACCCCACTCCAGGGGAAGGATACTGCAAAATCCCCATTCCCACCCCACTCCAGGGGAAGGATACTGCAAAATCCCCATTCCCACCCCACTCTTGGGGGAAGGATACTGCAATATCTCCATTCCTACCCCACTCTGGGGCCAGCCAGAGGTGTTATTTGCCGGTTCTCCGAACCGTTCAAATTTTCCGCTACCGGTTCTCCAGAACCTGTCAGAACCTGCTGGATTTCACCCCTGGACTGAGCCCAAAATCTACCTTGCTAAACGAGACAGTTGCTAAGCGAGTTTTGTTCCATTTTACAAACTTTTTTCGCCACATCTGTTAAGCGATTCCCTGCCCGTTGTGAACTGAGTGACACGGTTGTTAAGTGAATCCAGCTTCCCCACGGATTTGGCTTGTCATAACTATGCAACCGTCATAACTATGAGTCAGTGGCCAAGTGTTCGAATTTGGATCATGTGACCACGGGGGAATGCCGCAATGGTCATAAGTGTGAAAAACGGCCATAAATCACTTTTTAGGGGCCGTTGTAACTTTGACGGTCACTAAACGAATGGTTGAAAGTCAAAGTCTACCTGTCATCACGATTCTTTCGTTTTCTTCCTGCGGCCTCGTTGGGACACAAATGACTATTTTTAGGGTTAGGTAATAAATAGATAGGGATCTATTTATTCATTCAAAACACGTAATACAGCCAGCCACCTTAGAAGCAACTCTGGGCAGCTCCCATTGAAAAGTTAAAGCATCGTAAAAGCCACATTACAACTATAAAACTAAGCTCATTAAAATGTTAAAGGCAACATAACCTTGGCTCTAAGTCAAACTTCTGATCTGCAGTCAGCTCACCTGATCCCAGCACTTGGCGGGGAAAAGGCTGGTCAAACTTTCACTTGCTTCATCATGCTTGGGATAAACACATGTCCATCAGCTCGTAATTTTTTTTTAAAAAAAATAATTTTAAAAAAACCACCCCTTAATTAACAAGGAAAATAGAGCCGTGATGGCACAGTGGTTAAGATGCGGCATTGCAGGCTATTCTGCCGACTGCCAGCAGTTTGAGTCTCACCAGGCTCAAGGTTGACTCAGGCCTTGGTCCTTCTGAGGTCGGTAAAAGGAGGACCCAGATTGTTGGGGGTTAGAGGCTGACTCTGTAAAGTACTTAGGGAGGGCTGTAAAATGCTACGAAGTGGTATATAAGTCTAATATACAGTATACTGCGAAGGAAGGAAGGAAGGAAGGAAGGAAGGAAGGAAGGAAGAAGAGGAGAGGAGAGGAAGGAAGAAGAGGAGAGGAGAGGAGAGGAGGGAAGGAAGGAAGGAAGGAAGGAGAGGAGGGAGAGAGGGAGGGAAGGAAGGAGAGGAGAGGAGAGGAGAGGAAGGAAGGAAGGAGAGGAGAGGAGAGGAGGGAAGGAAGGAAGGAAGGAAGGAAGGAAGGAAGGAAGGAAGGAAGGAAGAAGAGGAGAGGAGAGGAAGGAAGAAGAGGAGAGGAGAGGAGAGGAGGGAAGGAAGGAAGGAAGGAAGGAGAGGAGGGAGAGAGGGAGGGAAGGAAGGAGAGGAGAGGAGAGGAGAGGAGAGGAGGGGAAGGAAGGAAGAAGAGGAGAGGAGAGGAGAGGAGGGAAGGAAGGAGAGGAGGGAGAGAGGGAGGGAAGGAAGGAAGGAGAGGAGAGGAAGGAAGGAAGGAAAGAAGGAAGGAGAGGAGGGAGAGAGGGAGGGAAGGAAGGAAGGAGAGGAGAGGAAGGAAGGAAGGAAAGAAGGAAGAAGAGGAGGAAGAGAGGGAAGGAAGAAAGGAAGGAGAGGAGAAGAGCGGAAGGAGGGAAGGAGGGCTGCAGCTGAGGCCCCATTACTGTGTTCGCTGCTGTATTCTGGACCAGTTGAAGTTTCCGGCTGATCTTCAAGGGCAGCCCCATATAGAGTGGGTTGCAGTAATCTAGACGGGAGATGACCAAGGCATGAGTGACCATGAGTAAAAGCCTCCTGGTTCCAGGAAAGGTCACAGCCCTTCTTTGGCATCACACAGTGAGCTTTATTCAATGATTTAATTAAAATAATTTATATAGCCACCCAACTCACTCGCCGTGACGTCGGGTGGCGTACAAAGATAAAAACCCAATATAAAAACAAGAAGAAGCCAGAACCCTTCGCTCGTCTGGCGATAAGAATCAGATGAGCCATTTGGTAGTCTCTGTCCCACTTTTGGGGTCCCCAGACCCTTTGGCAGAACTGGGTCTTCAGGGCCTTGCGAAAGAGTGTCAAAGCGGGGGCCACTCTTATCTCCGCAGGGATGATGTTCCACATGGAGGGAGCCACCACAGACAAGGCCCTTCTTGTTGTTCCTGCTGGATGGGTCTCTTTAGGAGAGGGGAGCCACAACATTCCCTGTCTCTCTGGGGAGTTGGGTGGATGTAACTGGGAAAAATAACACGGAGGAAGCCACCACAGAGAAGGCTTCTTGGTCCCCCTGTATGGACATCCTTAGGAGAGAGGACCCACAACATTCCCTGCCTCCCTGCTCTGGTGGGCCGGGTGGATGTAATCGAGAAGAGACAGTCCTTTGGATAACCTGGTCCCAGTGGTGGGTTGCTACCGGTTCACCCCGGAGGTCATCAAAAATGCTTTGCACATGTGCAGAAGCACTGCGCACTTGCGCTCCCAAAAGTGAACCGGTAGCGAAGAAAATTGAAACCCACTACTGGCTGGTCCCAAGCCATATAGGTGACCACAGTACCTTGAATGGGACCTGGAAGCAAATCGGCAGCCAATCGCTCCCACAGGAGCGATGACCCCCGTGCACATGTTTCTCTCCCCTTGCTGACCTCTGTCCCTCTTCTGATTTCAGACAGCACTTTGTTTGAGAGCTACACGGAAGGGGAAATCCACCAACTGATCTCCACCCTGATCGAGCGCTACAGCCAGTCCATGAACTCGGGAGGACACGAGCTGCCTCTCTTTGCCAAAGCCGGAAACAGGATGAAGCGCGCCAAGGCCCGCCACAAACCCTGCTCCCTCAAGGAGCTGGAAGTGACCATCAGCGAGCTAGGCCTGGGCTACAATTCGGATGAGACGGTCCTCTTCCGCTACTGCAGTGGGACCTGCGACTCGGCCGTGCGGAACTACGACATCTCCCTGAAACATGTGCGGAGCATGAGGAAGATCCGGAAGGAGAAGGTGCGAGCTCGTCCGTGCTGCAGACCATTGTCGTACGATGACGATGTCTCGTTCTTGGACACAGGGAACCGATACTACACCGTAAACGAGGTGTCAGCCAAGGAATGTGGCTGCGTGTGACCGGGAGGACGGAACGCCAATGAGAAAGAAGAGAGTCTCCATTCTCCCTTGGCTTCATCCATGGGGTACCAGCCAGGGTGCACCTCCAAGTAGGAAAGCCAAAGAGAGCAGACGAGAGAGGACCGGATGTGGACAACCACTTGGAAGGTCTAGCTCAAGGATGGTGATGGAGGCACAGGGCCAAAGGACTCACGGCTGAAGAAACAGTATCTTTGGCAGGATACGCCGAGCAGCTGGCGAGCAGAGATGGCTATATTTGGGACCTCCCCTAATAACATCCACCTTCTGACCAGAGGGGTGATGAGGCACTGGACAGAAGGCCGTTCTTTTGAGTCTTGACCAACATGCATTCTTGGCTTCTCAGGAGTGACGTTGTGCGGTTGGGGAGAAAAAATGAGGGCGCTTAACTCCTTCCCAGATATCCGTGCACGAGGAAGGGGTCTTGCCTGTGATTTTCGACAGATTATGTCTGCTGACATCTTGGAGCAACCGCTGAGAATCTGCACGGGTGAAGCCTGGGAGGTCCTCCGTTAAGTGATTCCATTTGGGAACTGAAGCGGGGCCTCAATTCCTGTCTGGCAGGCCAAGAGTTCGTTTCTTTAAAAAAAGACTTGCAGGAAAAGAGGCTGACAGGTTGTGGAATTCTTCCCTTCTGTCGTCAGACAAGGATTGTAATGTTATGTTAATGTACAGGCTCCGTGATCAACAGGACTGTGTAAAAATAATATATATATTATATATATATATATATGGAATGTCGACCTAAGTCTAAAATATTGACAGATATGTACAAAAACCTCATTCTTCAGTTGGCATTTCATCAACTTCTTAATGGGGTCCGTTTCTAGCAGGTTCTGTACACACTGCAGAGCTGAATTTAAGAGGCGAAGTTTGGTGCGTCGTTCAGACACAAGACACCTGTTGGGGAATGGCAGAAGGCCCCGGGTTCAATGAGGCCTGCTGGGAGGGAGATACTCCTGCGAAACATCCTGGATTAGACGAGGCCAGTTGAGTGGGCTTAATACAAGGCAGCTGTTCCCAAAATCCCTATGGCGCACAGAGATCCTGAGGACCAGTAACTTACTTTGCTTTTAGGGGACAGGTTGTAGACTAAGAAGAACTGGAGTTTCAGCATCCTGGAGGATGATTAGGGGAAGTCTGTTCACTGATTGCCTTGCCTACCCTTGGGGTGGGAACACAATCCTTCAGCCTGAATAGCTCCAGGGAATACGCTAAATCTAATCCACACATTCCTAATATCTAATCAGGTGTTTCTCAATCTTGGGCCCTGGAAGATAAGGGAACATTTTGGCTGGCTGGGGAATTCTGAGAATTGAAGTCCAGGGGCCCAAGGTTGAGAAATACTAGTTTAATCCGTATTTACATCCTTGAAATTTAATCCCATTCATTCTACTCTCACCTTCGAGAGCCTCTGAGAAGTCCGAACTCTTTGCAAGCTGGCAGCCCTTCAGAGTTTTGAGGACCCTCTCATGCCCCCCTCAACCTTCTTCCATGCAAGCTCAAACTCCATCCCCCACATCTTCCTCTGATCCTCACAAGACTTGGATTCGAGACAAGTCCTCCCAACATTTTAGTAGTTCCCGTTTATCAACATAATGAGATTCAGCATCCTCATTGCCATCTCCTCTCCCACCTCTGTTCCCATCTCCAGACCCCAAACTTCTCTTTGAGGCAGCAGGTGAGGAAGTCACACTAATATTTCTCACCTTGGACACCATCAGGAGCGGCCAAAGAAATAGAGGAGAGGAAGGAAAGGAATGTAGGGAAGTCTTATTTAACCCAATCCTAATCCCTATCCATATTGTCCTCTCCTCCCTTCCCCTGTCTCCATAGTGCAGGCATGGCAGCCATCTTGACTTTTTTGACTGCCCCCTTTCACAAATAAGGATGAATGAAGCCTCTCCCCTGGGGGGGGGGATGGGCAAGACGGTGGGGGCACAAAAGAGGGACTCTCAGATTTAGGTCCTGCTAGGGGCAAGGAAGGAAGAGTCCCTGGGGTCTCCAGCTATGTCTGTGATTTTCCACCACAGAGGTGATGCCCTTCTGAACATTTGGAGGAACCCAGAACCCATGTTGCTAAGACACACCTCCCTTCCCCTTCCTGGGGGTTTCTAATCTGTTTCTTGGGCAATCAGGGATGGCAATGCCAGTCATCTTCACCACTCTGGCAGTTTGTGAGCTGGTTCCACCAGCTGTGGACCTCAGAGCGTTTGTGTCCGGAAGTCCATGAGAACTAGCTGCTTGAAATAGATTGGGACCAATTTGCCCCGGTGCTGCCCGCCTGGATCCCTCGCCTGGATTCCTCCAGCAGAAGGGATCAACCCAGCCAGCCCTGAGGCTTCCCCTTTGAAACCCTGCCAGTTGTCTCTCTCCCTCTCCCTCTCCCTCTGGAGGCTTCCTTACCTTTGGACGTTAGTCTGCCGAACCCATCCTCCTCAGCCAGGGGAGTGTAGTCCATGCCCACCTGGGACATGCCAAGCCAGGGTTGATGGGCAGCTGCTGGCACAAACTGGTTTCTTTCCCCTCCAAACGGGAATCCTGCCAAGCCCTCAGGGAACTCGCAGTCCTGGAAGGTTGGTTGCTATGGCCCAACTTTTCTGTGCCCATCCAGCTGACCTCCCTCCCTCCCTTTGGCAGGGCCCCATTCCTAACGCTCCTCCTTGGCAGCCCCACCCCAGAGCCCCTCGCCCCACCTCCTCGGACTCAAGCCCTTCTTTGAACTTCCCCCCCTCCCCCGTCCTCTGCTCATCCTCCCCAGAGAGAGGAGGGGAGTAAAAAAATCCCCATCCCCAATTTCATTTTGATCACCTTGGGACTGACCAGAGCTCTCCGCCCCCCAGGCTAGCCGGCCTTGTTGCCTGTGAAGGGACCCTCCACCCCAGACTTTGAGGGCTCTTCCCCTCCCCCTTAGCTACCTCCTTCGTCTTCTCGGCACTTCCTCTCCCCACCTGTCCAGAGATTTTCCTGGGGTGCAACAACATTCTCCAATGAAAGCTCCTTCCACCGTCAGTGGTTTCCATTTAGCCCTCTAGCCCCCCTCCTCTCGTTGACCCCCTTTCTGGGTTCCTGGGGACCGTGGCATGAAGCAGAGGCAGAAGAAGGCGGGAAGCGAGTGTCAGCAATGATCCTTCCCTGTGCTTGCCCCTTTTTCCCGTTTGACCCACAAGAGCGGCCATAGGGACGGAGCTTGGGAAGAGCCCCAGGATGAGTCTTCCAACTCCTATGGGGTGTAGGGATCTGTTTGACACCCCCCCCCCCCAGGAAAAGGAGGGAGGCATCCTGAGCAGTCAGAGGGCGGCTGCTCCCCTTCACCCCATAATTGGGCTCCCCTTGGAAGAATCTATGGGGCAGGTATGGACAGGAATGAATGGAAGCGGCCAGAGCAGCTTCACCCCAGCAAATTCTCTCTGGGGAATTTTGTTCCCCAGCGACCTCCTTTCCCGTCCCAGCTCTTCTATGGGTAGTCCTCGGCTTATAACCAAAACGGGGCCCAGAATTTCTGTTCCTAAGCAAGGCAGTTAACTAAGTTGCACCTCGTTTTACGACTGTTTCTGCAACGGCCATTAAGCAAATCACAGGAGCGCTTACCAACCACACCTAAATTCTATTAAAGGAACCAAAATATCTTTGCGATCTCCAAGGAATGCCCAAACTTTTGAGCACGCTTAAAGTTTGGAAATTGAAGACTGAAAAATGTGACATGGCTGAAAACAGGTTGGGAGCTGGCTGGCAATGATATTACCTGGGATACTACAACCGTCATAAGTACATGCCAGTTGCCAAGCCACCTAAATTTTGATCATGTGACCACAGAGATGCTGGAATAGTTGTAAGTCACTTTTTGAGTGCCATTGTAACTTTGAACGGTTGCTAAACGGACGACTGTAAGTCAAGGACTCCCTATAAGGGAGATGTTTTCCCAGCTGGAAGCCCCTGGCATCTCTGGCTGGTGGGGCCCCGGGCCCCTTCTGCCTATGTTAAACTTTTCCCCGCCTTGCAAAATTGACAGCTGTCCCTTAGTTTTATTCCACCAATCCGGAGCTCTCGTTTCATCCATGGGCTGTCCTAAACTTTCTCATCGAATTCGGCTTAAGAAGTTGATGCGATAATCTCTGTATTTTATTATAGATGAACTCTATTTATTCAATGTTTAACTTATGATATATTTATTTAGCTATCATCCAAAGTGCATTTGAAGCTTTCTGGGGACTGTTCTATCTTAATTTCCGGCTTTTCCTTGTGTTTTTCTTGTTTTGTTGTTTTGTTTTAATTTATTGCACAAAAATGGTACCAAAGTTCACTTGACTTTCGCTTCATGCTTTTTAATTATTTTTTACTGTTTCCTTCTGAACAAAAAAAAAAAAAGCACTGTGCATTCAACAAGTAAAAATCGTCATGAGTAAAATGCCTTTAAAACAACGAGAAGTAGTGTGGTGAATATCCAAAGCAGGCCGAAAAGAAGCAATTAATTAAAAAAAACCCGCTTAACGAAAACAGGGGGGCCATTGTGGCACAATTTACGCAAACTTCCTGCCGGAGGGGTGTTGCAAGCCATCACTTGCTCCAGACCGGAGGACCGGAGGCAGGATTTTTTTTGAACTGCAAGCTAAAATCAATGCTTAGCTTTCCACCGTAGTAAAAACCAGTTAAAAATACATCCGTAAATCTGCTCGGTCCCGGCACAAAACTGAGGAAGAGAGAGGGAATTTGCCATCAGAGGGAATTAGAAGTCGAGATCTTGCTTGAGAATCCAAGAGATGGGTTTTGTAGTTTCTGTGGTTCGGAGGGCTGTGGGAGGTCAGCTAGTCTAACCCCTTGCCCAGGGCAGAAATCTGCAATTATGACTCAGCCATTATGGACTCATCACCAGGAAAGGAGAGGCCTTGGTTGTGTGAAGTCGCCAATTCCTTTCCTGAAGGGACAATTTTTATTTTTCTGATGTTAAAACCTTGTGATTTAACTCAGTTGTTCCCTGGATTGTGCTCTAAAATAATCCTACTTTTTATCGCCTTGCGGACTCTAGAAAGTAGATATTGTGTCCTTCTGCTGGTTTTTTTTTTTTTTTTGTCTCCAGACCCATCATGAGTGGGATTCAGCCGGTTCGGACCAATTTGGGTGAATCGGATGCTAATTTTACACTTGGTTCTCCGAACTGGTAGTTGCAAGGACTGGCTGGCCCCGCCTACCCCACCCCTCCCCTCCCAGGAGTCTCCATGCAGCCTGTTTTGGATGCCAGGTAAGTGCAGGGCCCACCTGGAGGCTCTGGGAGGGCAAAAAACGGACCTCCCAGAAGTTCAGGAAGTCCGGAAACAGGCCCGTTTCTGGCCTCCGCAGGGCCTCTGGAGCCCGGGGGAAGGCCGTTTTCCGCCCTCCCGGAGGCTCGAGAAAAGCCTCCAGAGCATGGGGAGGGCGAAAACATCCCCCCACACACACCGTGGTGCAGGAGGTGAAGCAGGCCACGCCCACCATGGCCACGCCCACCCAGCAACCAGGCAGAGAACTGGTTGCTAAAATTTTTGAATCCCAGCCCTGATGGTGCCTCAGTTTAATAACGGTGGTTATTTCTTGAAAAAACTTTTTTATTTTTATTTATTATACACATACTTATTGCAAATGTACATTCTCTTATCCATAATTGATCATATCTATCTATCTATCTGTCTGTCTGTCTGTCTCTCTGTCTGTCCTATCTATCTATCTATCATCTATCTATCTACTATCTATCTATCTATCTATCTATCTATCTATCTATCTATCTATCTATCTATCTATCATCTACCTATCTATCAGCTATCTATCTGTCTGTCTATCTATCAGCTATCTATCATCTATCTGTCTATCTATCTATCTGTCTATCTATCTATCATCTATCTGTCTATCTATCTATCTATCTATCTATCTATCTATCTATCATCTACCTATCTATCAGCTATCTATCTGTCTATCTGTCTATCTGTCTAACTATCTATCTATCTATCTAATCTATCTATCTATCTATCTATCTAATCTATCTATCTATCTATCTATCTACTATCTATCTATCACTATCTAATCTACCTATCTATCTATCAGCTATCTGTCTGTCTATCTATCTATCTATCTATCTATCTATCATCTATCTATCTATCTATCTATCTATCTATCTATCTATCTATCTATCTATCATCTACCTATCTATCTATCAGCTGTCTATCTGTCTATCTGTCTATCTATCTATCTATCTATCTATCTATCTATCTATCTATCTATCTATCTATCTATCTATCTATCTATCTATCTATCTATCTATCTAATCTACCTATCTATCTATCAGCTATCTATCTGTCTATCTATCTGTCTATCTGTCTATCTGTCTATCTATCTATCTATCTATCTATCTATCTATCTGTCTATCTATCTATCTATCATCTACCTACCTATCAATCAGCTATCTGTCTATCTATCTATCTATCTATCTATCTATCTATCTATCTATCTATCAATGAAAGCGTAAAAATAAGACATTTTAATTACATTTGGGGTTGCTCTTCTAAGCGGTGGTTATTTCTGAAGTTCCATTTTGATGAGATACCAATCTTAGGTGAACCTCGGCTGCCTGTTTTCCTTCCATATTCCGTGGTACATTTCTCCACTGAGGAATATAAATTTTGTTCTGAGCAGCTCTTCTTCCATTAAAGGACCCCGCTCAACATTTTGGGTATGCAAAAAGCGTGAGAAATGGCCTTTATTAATTATTTTTGCACCAACAACTTTTTTTTGGGGGGGGCGGAGTCTTTTTCTTTTATCCTTCTGCAGAACACACCTACAGGAACTCCAGACCTGGGAACTATTAAGCATTAAAATCACTTAATGCTTATTTATCCTATTTAAGATCCCTTAAAGGCCAGCCAGCCATGTGGGGCAGCAGCCAAAAAAGACAAGCCGATCCTTAGTTGTATAAACAGAGGCATATAATCAAGAACATGTGAAGTCTTAGTACCACTTTATAAAGTCTTTGTAAGGCCACAGCTGGAATACGGCATTCAGTTTTGGTCACCCCATTATTACGAAAAACATGTTGAGCCTTTGAAAAAAGTGCAGAGAAAAGCAACTAAGATGGAGACAGTCACTAAACACATGAAGGACAGTTGCGGAATTTGGGTTTGGCTAGTCTAGAGAAAAGGAGGACTAAGGGGGACATGATAGTAGCCTTCCAGTATTTGAGGGGCTGCCCCAAAGAGGAGGGGGTCAAACTATTCTCCAAAGCACCAGAAGGCAGGACGAGAAGCAACGGATGGAAACTGATCAAGGAGAGAAGCAACCTGGAATGAAGGAGAAACTTCCTAACACTGAGGACAATTAACCAGTGGAACTGCTTGCCACCAGAAGTTGTAGGTGCTCCAACACTGGAGGCTTTTGAGAAGAGAGCGGACAACAATTTGTCTGAAATGCTATAAGGTCTCCTGCTTGACCAGAGGATTGGACTAGAAGACCTCCAGGGAAATGGTGGATTGCTACAGGTTCGCACTGGATCATGCGAACCGGTAGCGGCAGACGACGAGCAAATTGGTAGCAACAGGATTTGGAACCTGCTGCTGCTCCAGGGTTCCTTCCAGCTCTATTCTGATTTTTTTTAAAAACACAAAACATAAGGACTAGAAGCTTGGGTTGCATAGGAATGCAAGGCAAGAAGAGTTCTGGAAAAGGATTTGACAGTCCCAGAAAGAAAGAAAGAAAGAAAGAAAGAAAGAAAGAAAGAAAGAAAGAAAGAAAGAAAGAAAGAAAGAAAGACGGAAGGAAGGAACGAAAGAAAGAAAGAGAAGGAAGGAAGAAAGGAAGGAAGGAAGGAAAGAAAGAAAAAGAAAGAGAAGGAAGGAAGGAAAGAAAAAGAAAGAAAGAAAGATGGAAGGAAGGAATGAAAGAAAGAAAAAGAAAGAAAGAAAGAAAGAAGGAAGGAAGGAAGGAAGGAAAGAAAGAAAAGGAACAAAAGAAAGAAAGAAAGAGAAGGAAGGAAGGAAGGAAAGAAAGAAAAGGAACAAAAGAAAGAAAGAGAAAGAAAGAATGAGAAGGAAGGAAGAAAGAAAGGAAGGAAGGAAGGAAAGAAAGAAAGAAGGAAGGAAGGAAGGAAAGAAAGAAAGAAAGAAGGAAGGAAGGAAACAAAGAAAGAAAAAAAGAGAAGGAAGGAAGGAAGAAAGAAAGAAAGGAAGGAAGGAAGGAAGGAAAGAAAGAAAGAAAAGGAAGGAAGGAAAGAAAGAAAGAAGGAAAGAAAGAAAGAAAGAAAGAAAGAAAGAAAGAAAGAAAGAAAAGGGGGAAAAACAGCTTTTGAAAGGCCTGAAGATTTATCTCGGTTTTGCGGAATGGAAAAATGCTGGGTTTACATTTGTCCGCCTGCCCCCCAGCCTTCCTGACAGCGGCAGGAGCAGGAGGGAGGCTTGACTGAACCCAACTATTCAAAGCCACCCTCTGTAAATATTTTACTAAGCATCTTTTGGAGTCTCATAAATCTCGGTGTCTTGACAGAGGAGCGGACAACCCGGCTTGGCCCTGCGGTGGGGTTCTTTGGGGAGGGGGAGGGCTGGGGGAAGAGGAGAGGGAGGGGTTTCCGAGGGGAGCCCTTTGACGCATCCTGGGAGTTGGGCATTTGCAAACGGTGCAGAGAAGGATGCGGACGCAAGGAGAGGTGCCAAGAAGCATTTGGGGAAGGATGCAAGGAGGGGGAGGGGCAGAAACACCCCCGGGATGGAAGAGCACCTCAGAAGGGGCATCCGGTAATCCTCAGCCATCGGCAGGGACTTTGGGGCACACAGAACAACAGACGTGACCCTCAGCTCAGTAGTGGGTTTCAAAACCCGGCGCTACCAGTTCGCTATCGTAGCGCTACCAGTTCGCTATTGGTAGCGCGCAGGTGCGCTCTCTCGCTTCATGACTGAGCATCGCCCCAGTTCAGCTCCACTGCGCCTGTGCGCGCGCCTCCCGCTGGACAGCTGGTCTTCGGGTCTGCCATGCATGCGCAGGGATGGGGGTGTGCAGGGGGGCATGTGCACGGGCCCCCGCACATGCGGGGGTGCATGCGGAGAGGGGGAAGGGGTGTGCAGGGAGGCGCATGTGCAGGGAGCATGCAGGGGGCCATGCAGCATTGCATTTTGGGGGTTCAGGTGCGTGTGCTTTGGGCACTCAGTC